AAAAAAAAAAAAAAAAAATCAATCTAAACATAGAGCTTACACATTTCACAAAAACTAACTCAAAATGTATAAGTATAGACCTAAATATCAAACACTAAACTATAAAACCCAGCAGGTAACACATGAGAAAATGTAAGTAACTTTGCATTTTTGTGACTTCTAAAATACAACTCCTCAAGCATAACTCATGAAAGGAAGAATCCACACTGGGCCTCATTAAAATTAAAAACCTCTTCTGTGTGAAAGACACTGTTAAAAGAATGAAAAGACAGCCAGAGACTGGGAGAAAATATTTGCAAAACACATATCTGATAAAATACTGTACCTCAAATATACAAAGAACACTTAAAATTTAATAAGAAAATGAAAAATTAAAAAATGGGCAAAAGACCTGAATCTCACCAGAGAAGATATTCTGATAGCAAATAAGCATTTGAAAAGATACTCAACAGCATACGTAATTAGGGAATTGCAAATTAAAACAATAATGACATATCACTACATCTCTGTTGGAGTGGCCAAAATCTGAAACACTGACAACACCAAATGCTGACAAGGACATTGGGCAATGAATGCTCATTCATTCATTCTTGGTGTAAATGCAAAATGGTGCAGCTGCTTTGAAAGACAGTTTGGCAGTTGCTTACAAAACTAAACATAATCCTACCATAAAATCCAACAATCACACTCATATTTACCCAAATGAATTAAAAACTTATGTCTACACAAAAACCTGCCTACCAATGTTTATAGCAGCTTTATTCATAAATGCCAAAACTTAGAAGCAACCAAGATGTCTTTCAATAGGTGAATAAACTGTGGTACATCCAGACATGGGATATTATTAAGTGATTTATAAAAATGAGTTATCAAGCCACAGAAAGAACATGAGGAAACTTAAAAAAATATTGCTAAGTTGGGCGCCTGGGTGGCTCAGTCGTTAAGCGTCTGCCTTCGGCTCAGGTCATGATCTCAGGGTCCTGAGATCAAGCCCCGCATTGGGCTCCCTGCTCCGCAGGAAGCCTGCTTCTCCCTCTCCCCTCTGCTTGTGTTCCCTCTCTCGCTGTCTCTCTCTCTCTCAAATAAATAAATAAAATCTTTAAAAAAAAAAAATATTGCTAAGTGAAAGAAGCTTATCTGAAAAGGCTACATACGTATGATTCCAGTGATATGACATCCTGGAAAAGGCAAAACTTTAGAGACAGTAAAAAGATCAGTGGTTTCCAGAGGTTCAGGGGGAGGGAGAAAGGGAGGAACAGGTGGCACACAGGTGATTTTTATGACACTGAAACTATTCTATAGGACACTGTAATGACAGATGTTACTCATTTCTCAAAACCCACAGAACTTACAACACTAAGAGTAAACTTTAGGGGCGCCTGGGTGGCTCAGATGGTTAAGCATCTGCCTTCGGCTCAGGTCATGATCCCAGGGTCCTGG